TCTAAACATATTTCTTCAAAAGGAGATTCATATTTACCACCCCTATCACTTCTTATCATTTTTTCTTTCTTGTTATGTTGCGTTTCAACTTCATTTTTGTATTGCTTGAATGCGTCTATTGCTTCATCTTTACTATTCAGTAAGTAAACATAGCAATATCGAGTACCATCGTCAATAAAAGTTATGAAATACTTCTTTCCACCGCGAGATGGTATTGACTTCATGTCACAAATATCTGTGGAGCATGCACTAGTTTGTTTGTGGAGCAAGCACTTGGCCATGGTGGGAAGAGCATTAGGCGGTTGCTATTGCAGCTGGTGGTCAATACACGGATTGGAACATATCCGTTACAAATGTGGATAATCTTACGTTAATCTGAAGCCGAAGCCGAAGCCGAGCCGAGCGAGCGACGACGGCGGCGTGAGGCTTGCTTTCTTCTTAACTCTTTAAGAGCTACAAGAAGAGCAATTATATATATACCCACCAAAAATCTTTTCCTCTTCCAATATGGGACAATGTCTCATTGTCAAGAGGGGGAAACTTAAAATTTTACTCAAAAATTTCATTTTCCCTCCATTTTCCATTCACCCTCATTTTAAGACTATTTCAATCTTAAATAAAAAACCTCAACAGCTCTGACTTGACATGCAAAATAGGGAAACTCAATAGGTCATCCATATTAATATAGCTAGAAACAGCTGGCCACATTCGGACAGTAAACTGACCTCGATATACCAGGATGGGACGATTAGCTCATTAGCACAACGTAAGCTTACCAAGTGATCTTTCACTATGGTTTTGTCAATTAGTTCATCCAATCTAAAGCTATCGTAGAAGTAGAAAGTAAGATTGGCATGGATCAAAGATGACAGGTCCCCCAGCCTAATTTCCATATAGGTGAAATCCCCCAAAAATCTTCAAATGTCGAACATATGGAGCAACAACTTCTAAGAAACAATCACCTCCAGATGAATCCCAATCTCCCTTAGGATGTCCGTGATTGATCAACTGCAGTCTCCTACACTTAGGAGAAGTTATATGCAAACGATGAAAACCACAAAATTCTTGTAGCTCCAAAGCTTCCAGCTGGGGGCAACTTGATATTATTTGTTCAATATGTTCATCCCGGAGAAACAAATGTGTTAGCGTTAAACTCTTTAGGGATGTCCAATTTAGTGTACAATCTTCTGATATTCTGCAACACGTGCAACTTAGTTTTAGAACTGATGAGCTGCTGCAGAGAACTTGCGGCAAGATATAGGATTCTTGATCATAATACCAAATATCCAGGTCAATATCCTCCACTTTGTTCTTCAAAGCAATTTCAAGCCATTCGTCAAGTTTAGAATTATAAGACATACCACTGTGATATATCCTAAAAATAGATTGAACTTCTTAATTTTAGAGCAGTTAAGCAGAGGTAGTACATTGTCCATGAAGGAAATGAACTTGTTCACTGCCAAGCTATCAGAACAATTGATATTCCTGCTGCCAAAGATGAGGTTGTCGATAGAGGTCCAGAGGTATTGCCAACGTTTAGAGAGAATAGTTGTTCTGAAGGCATCTTTTACGGGCATTAGAGAAAGAATTTGGACAATTAGAGAGTCAGGTAACTGACTGATCCAATCAATTCCAGTTACTGCGCATCCTTTCTGATTCTTCTTTGTTTTCTGAGGTGGATTTTCATGGCCTTTACAGTCTCCATCGTTACCAGAACTGCCAGGGCACTGGTCTTGCTCGCCCATGGTTGTCATTCCTTGAGAGACCTATACACTAATCCGCTCCTGTACCGTTGTTTAGTGTTGAGAGAGAAGACATACTATGCCGCAGTTAGGGCTAAGAAGGGGGGAAATGATCGGTCAATACTGAGAATTGCGGGTCGAGTTTTTAGTAGTTTCCTATTCCGTCGAAATCAGTCCCATAGTTAGTCTTTGTTTAGTATTAGCCCACAGCGTTGTGTTATGCCACACTATAGATGGAGGCAATCATGGGGGCAAGGAATTGTTTAGGGCTCGTTTGGATTAAGAAAAGTTATGCAATGATTAATTATGTAAAAGTTAGTTATATAAGAATTATTAATAATATAGTAGCAATTTATAAAGCGAGGATTATAATGAGAGATTAGCAAGGCATGAATTGTAATATGAGTATTAGTAATGCAGTGATCATTTCTAAAACAATATTTAGTTTTATATATCACATAGGTATTACTAATATACGATTTATAATTAAAATATTTGTTTTCTTAAAAGAAAATAAGTTTTCTTTAAAAATATTACGAGATTATTTTTGGTTATGTTTGTCATTTTAATCCATGTAATATAAATAATTGCATTCTTATTTTACAATCTGTTCCGTATAAAATAATATATAGATTCCAACATAGCTTATGCAAATATTATTTATGAGAAAAATAAAATAGATTCGTATTGATCATTGTTAGTTTTTATGTGGAGATTAAAACTTCTTAAATTCCAATTAATCATTGTATAACTTTATGTTGATTTTTATGTGGAGATTATATCTCCTAAAATCCAAGCCAAACGGCTTCTCAGTGCATGGGGTGAAAGATAAAGGGAAGGAAAACGGAAAACACCAAGGGCTTATGGTCATGGAGTTTATTCATATGAGTTTCTTGTTCCTATGAATAGATACTTATAACGTATGTAAACTAACTTTGTTCTAAGAAAAAAATTTACGGTATTTATCCTTTTCATAGGTAAAGGAGGATAGTCAAGCTGATTCACGAGGATAGTTTAACTAAGCTCGAAGCTGATACTTAGCGGTGTAGAGACAATGTCTTTGTTGAGGTTTTTGTTTTTAAGATGAAATAGTCTTAAAATGAGAGTGAATGGGAAATGGAGGGAAAATAAAATTTTTGAGTAAAATTTTAAGTTTCCCTCTCTTGACAATGAGACATTGTCCCATATTGAAAGAGGAAGAGATTTTTGGTGGGTATATATATAATTGCTCTTCTTGTAGCTCTTAAAGAGTTAAGAAGAAAGTAAGCCTCGCGCCGTCGTCGTCGTCGCTCGGCTCGACTTCGGTCAAACGATTGATTGATTAATTTTTTGGACCAAATTTATTTGTTAATAGTAAATATTAACGCAAGATTATCCGCATTTGTAATGGATATGTTCCAATACGTGTATTGACCACCAGCTGTAATAGCAGGCCTAATGCTCTTCCCACCATGGCCAAGTGCTTGCTCCACAAACAAGCTAGTGCATGCTCCACCATGGAGGGTGGAGGGTCGTTTATCTTCAAAGCTGACTGCTATAAATATGTGCAGCAGCTGTTGAAGAAAGACACACAATACACAAGACCAACAAACTGAAAATCGCTCAACAGATTTGGCTATACATTGCACTCCTTCCTCTCAGCATTTCCATACGATTTTTTGAGTTTCTACAACTTCGTTCTGCATTGTTTTAACTTCAAATAAAGCAACTGTAAGTGTGATTTGCTACCGAACTTTGTGTTCGCTGAAACACTGGGGTTTGAAGTACC